GAATTATGAATATGAACCGTTGGGAGGCATACAGCCTACAGCGACATGGCAGCTACGCGCATTTAGCAGCGCCTCACCTTCCTCCTTTCTCTTTATTGCTTTATATTCTCCCATAGGATACCACTCTAATCAGCCTCGGCCCCAGAATTTAACTACTTTCAAACTCCAAATCACCACACCTGCTTAGCTCCCTTCCAGTCTTTTACACGTATACACATAAGAGTCAGATAATTAATCTACAAACATTAAAAACAACAAAATCGTTAACAAGTTACTCTTCTGATTCTTAATATAAGACCTAATTATTAAGTTAATTTTAGTCCTAAATATAAAACTCATTTTTTCATATTTATCAATTTTTCTTAAATTACCCCTATAGATACTTTTTCAAACATAATCAAATAAATATGAGAGGAAAGATGATTATGATGTTTTAGAAAAAACATGTCATATTTCTTATAATTAATTAACTTATCTAAGTTTTTAAATCTAATCAAATTAGTTAAATAGATCTTATATTAAGAACCGGAGAAATAATTATTTGTATAAATTATATTAAGGACCGGAGAAATAGTTATTTGTATAAAATGATACTTTGTCTCTTCTTTTTGGTAAAAACATATGATAAAATCACGTACATTAAAAGGTTAATTAAAATTGTTTGAAAACAATAAGTATATAAAAGTCAGAAGTTTTTCCTTAGAAATAGTCTGATTTAAGAAGGATGAAGAGGGGAAAAAAATTTATGAAAACAAATAAAATCATGAGAAAAAAAAAGGCGTGACAGAGAGAGGTGATGGAGAGATGAATAAATGACAAAGAAATAATGCTGATCATTCTTATAAAGATATCGGCCAGTAGTATTTTTGGAATGATTTTGGCGTGTCAAAATAAGTGAAACCACTCATATGTGATTTTAAAATTTAATAAGTAGTTTTATTTTTTTAAAAAATAAATTTAAGTAATTTTAATTTAAAATTTTATTAAACTCCAAAAGGAAAAAGAGTGACAGTGCAACACTGGTTGTTTTTTGGGGTGAAGGGAGAATTAATTAGTGAGGGACGACCAGGGGCAAGTTGCGCTGCGCGACTCAGCACGGTCTCCCATGCCCTTACAGTCACGTGCCAGACACTGCTCCCCATAGAAAATTCCAGTTCGCTTCCTTGTATTTAATTTAACCACCTAAATTTATCTTCCCATTTTTTTATAAATAACAATTAAATTTTAATAAGATTAATAGTTATTAGTGTCTCTGACACTACCCAATTTTTAAAGCGTCGCACGCGATGTGTCTGTACGTGCGCACGATACTCTCCCCATTTTATTTTATTACAGTTCTCTTAACTTAAAAGACATTAATGAGGTGTTTGGATAGAAACCAAACTATAGTTTCAGAAATGTTTTTATCGTTTACGAAGTAAATATATAGAGAAATTTATCTCGTTTTATAAAAAAATACTTCTGAAACCATGACTTGAAAATTACCAAACACCGCCTGACTCCTCACGTTCACATTCTTTTTCTTCTACTCCTCTATCCTAATGTTCTATTTTCAACATATAATATAAAAAGGGGTTAAAATATTAAAATTACCCACAAAATATACACTAATGAGCATTTGACATCGTAAAACTGGAGTGAAACTTTCATCGCCATCAACATTTACCATCTATTTTCTCTCCTTTTATTTTATCTTTATTAAAAAATATAATTTAAAATTTCTCTCGTATCTTTTCAGTATTTAAAACTCTCTCTGTTTTTTTTTTTTGGTAAAACTATTATGTCAAACATTTTAACACAACAAAACTTTCATCACCATTAACATTCAACGTGTTTTCTTAACCTCTCTGCAAATAGTCAAAATTGCTACATTTGTCAAAGATGAGAGTTTTTTTTCCTATTTTGAAAGACCTGCGGGTACTTTTCAACCCAAATAAATTTTACCATGTTAGATGTACTTTAACTATCATTACTTATCTTCTTTTTTTTTTTTTGAAAGATTTTGAACCTAAGAACTGAAAATCTGTGCACTTTGAAAATAATAAGAAAGTTATATAATTTATAGGACACCTTCTCACTCTTGATTTTTAAATGAAAGATAATTTTTATTGTTAACTAAATAAAATGATATACGATAAGAAGGCTTCAGCAGCTTATTTTTTAGAATAAGTAATTGCAAAACCTAAGAACAAATAAAAAGCAGAAAAATTATAAAGATCCCAACCAAACATGAAACAACCACAAGAACAAAACGAATCTCACTCTTATTTGTTGACCACATGCTAAGTGGTCAAGTGGCCGGACTTAATTTTTTATGCATTGTCATTAGCTAGATACTGCCTATTATTTTTAATACAAAAACCAGTTATAAAATCAATTTAGTTATAAATATAAGGTTCTAATATATTTTATGGATCATGCTTGTTTATTTTACCTTAAGTAATATTTATGATGATTAGACATAATGTTTCCATCAAATAGCAATTCACATGCCCATAATTAATCACAGAATTTAAAAAAAAAGACAACATTCATTCGTTACAAATAACTAACTTAATTAATTTTATTAATTATTTAGTTTTTATATTAAGAACCAGAATAGTACATGTTGTTCATTTGGATTATGATGAATGCATATTTTTTAAGGCCTAAGTTTATTAGGCCTATCAATTGTGCATTTCTAAAAATATTTCGCTGACATTAATATATTTCACATTATATCAATGATACATGCACGATGATTTTAGCAAAACAATTCATGAATTTCATTTCCTTTTAAAGTCGTTCAAATTATTAGATTCATTTTTGACCTTGCCACTTTCCTTTTCTTTACTAAATACACATACAAATAAACTAGAGCCATTTTTCATGTGATGTGTGACCCTATAATATTCACACGTGCCGTGCAATATAAAAAATATAAAGTATTTTAAAAAGCAAAAGAATTTATGTAGTTTGCAGAGTTGCACCGAAAAGAGTAGGAAACAAGAAATGGAATTAAAATAATTAACATTGAGTGATTCATTCTTATTGACCCAAAAAAGTAATTAATATTTCAGTTTTGGCCATAAGACATTGTGTGGTGTTAACAATAAATGTTATTTGTGGGTTAAGTAATGCTAATAAATTAGGTTTTCATAATCTGTTACTCCACAAGTTCTCCAATGGACAAAGCGTTGAGTCATCCTCAATTTATGAGGCCTTTTTCAAATTTATTTATTAATATACGGTTACAATTTTTTTGGGTGATCATTTTAAATATTGTCTAGACTAAAATATATTTTTAATTCTTTAATTTCATATAATGTTTCGGTTTAGTATCTTAACTTTAAAAAAAATTATTTTTAATCTTTTAATTATACAATCTTAACAAAAATGATGATACTGAAATCTTAAATATTGATAATAAAACATTCTCAAATGCTAAGTTATCAAGTTTAATTTTGAAAAACAATTATGATTATTACAAAAAAAATATCATTTAAGATTAATAATTTTAGAATTAAAAGATTAAAAATATATTTTTTGAAGTTAAGAGATCAAATTAAAATTTTATATAAAGTTAAAGAATTAAAAGTATATTTTAATATACTGATTATTATTGAAAGAATGCATTTATTTTTTATTTTCTTTCAACGTAAAAGCTCAATATTTTTTTCAAAATTAAGATCTTTTAATTTTTCTTGGCATCACAACAAGATTTTTGAAAAGGCAACAATAATTTGTTAAATTAGTACGATTTTAATGCACTGCTCAGGTCAAACTCTCGATTTTATTATAATTATAATCTTTGACCGATAGACATAAGTTAATTGTAATTTGAGGATAATCTATTTAAAATCTTCAATAATGCTTTTATTCGCTATTTCAGACAGAAGACGGGACAGTTTTATTTTTCATTTTTTTTAATTCCAAGTTTGGACCAATTCATTTTTGTTTTGCAGATTAGGGAGGACCTCTTTTTTCGTCTTGCTTTTTTCTCAAATCTATTTCTTTTTTTTTTTTGACCAGCAAATCTATTTCATTTTTTCCTTCTATGATTATTTTGTTATAACAATATGTTAAAAAGCAATCGAGATTTGTTCAAAGTTTCTCTTCTAATCGATTTTTTTTTTTTTACAACGAACAGAGTACTCTAACTCTATTTTCAATCAAAGTTCTAATTTTTTTTTTGGCAACATTCCAAAGCAACAACTGTCCTCAGAAAATAACTAAAATCTCGAAGAATCAGGGAAGGTAAAGTGAATAATCAGAGGAATGGAAAGTTCAAATTTATCTATATTTAGAGAAACCATCAAAAGGAACAACAGTGAAAATCGATTCACTTTGTTTCCTTTTCACTTTCCTTCCCTTCCTTCCTTTCCTCGCGTCTCTTTATTTTTCTGCTTTTAATAATCGCCTTCTGCACACAGAGCGGACAAAGGTCACTGTGATTGATTCTTTATACACACAGAACCAACCCAGTCTCGCTTCAGCATTTTGACCAACGAGGGGGGAAAAAAAATAATTGGGAGTGAAGAAATGGTGGAAATATGAGAGGAGGAGAGTGAGAGAGACGCAAGGAAAGAGACAGCAGAGAGAGACAAAGTAATAGGTAGCCACCATAACAGTGAAAAACAAGCAGAGAGGGAGAGAAAGGTAATTAAATGAAATGACTTTTTCTTTTGTTTATACTTTATTGTGAGATTTCGCATTGATTTTGAGTCGTCAAGGATTTTGATATTAAATGGGTTTTTCTCTTTTGTCAGAAGGAAAAAAAAAAAAGTGAAGGGTTTGATATGTTTGTATAGAGATTTGCGTCGGTTCAATCGGTGTACCGGGGTCGGCTTTTCCTCTTTTTTAACCCTTTTTCCTCAGAGTCGGTCGGTCTTTGTCAATGGTTTTTGCAGATCGATAAAACCTAGCAATAACTAATGTTTTTGTCATATTTTTGGGAGAGAAAATTGCAGCCACAGATTTGTAATCCTTTCCCTTCGTACCCCTCACTCTCCTTTTGGTTCTTTAAATATCAGTTTATTCACTTCACACTTCCCTCTTTGTTTGGCCAGCCAAGAGCACACAGCGAGAGAGAGAGAGCAAGAGAGATTTCTGCGAGAGGTTTCTCCAAACAGTGCCCGAGTACAAGATTTTATGTCGTCTAGGTTTGATTTGGCAGTGATTGGAGCTCCGTTGAAGCTCTGTGTTTTGTCTGCTACCTTGCTCTTCTTGTTCTCTGTGTGCTCTGCTATCCGCTGTATGCTTCTCTGTTCTTCGAGGCAGAGGTTGAATCTGGTGTACCCAACGGCTTCGATGCGTTTGAGACCCAAAAGGTTTGTGGCTCTTACTCAGTTTCCCCCTTAATCTCTGTTAAACCTTTGCTGGGTTTTGGTTTCTCTTGAGATGTGGGTCTGAATCTGGGTTTTTCATGGCTGGATTTTGCAGGACTTGTTCTGGAGTTGAGTGTTTCGGAGGCTTTCACAATATAAGATTCTCACACCTTTTCATATTTCTGAGAGGGGATCTCACTTGATATTTGTTATCTCTTTGTTGGGTTTTCCATTTTTGTTCTCTCTCTTGAATTTGTTTTGATTTCCTTCGCAATTTTCCGGGTATTTTGAGGGGTTTTTGGTGGGTTTTCCCAAATTTTTGTCTCCACCATGCTCCAACCTCGGAATCAGCCGTCGAATCAGACGATGAACATCAACAATCTCTGCAAAAAGATGAAGCATAAGCAAAACCCCATTCCATCGAGAAAGCTTCGCATAATCTGTGACGACCCTTACGCCACAGATTCGTCTTCCAGCGAAGACGAAGGAGAAGGACGTTTCGAAAGGCGGCCGAGAAAGATGAAGCGAATCGTTCGTGAGCTCACTCTTCCTCTTTCATCTGCCCTGTCTAAATCCACTGAAACCGAAAGCTCATTTCAGGAAAGCAACAATGGAGTCATCAAGTCCTCCTCCAAGTTCGCTGATGGTCAAACCCAGAACAAGAAGAGGGTTTTTACCAAAACCCCATCAACAAAAAGCTCGTCTTCTTCAAGATTCAGAGGCGTTCGACAGAGAAAATGGGGTAAATGGGCTGCTGAAATTCGTGATCCATTTAAAGGTGTTCGTATCTGGCTTGGTACTTATAATACTGCACAGGAAGCTTCTCAAGCCTATGAAACGAAGAAGATGGAGTTCGAAGCAATGGCTAAAGCTCAAGCTCAGGCTCAATCGGAGAAGAGTCACATTATTTCTTCTTCTTCAGCTCACGTGGCTGCTTCTGTATCAGAAGATTCTGAGAGCGTTTTCTCTCAAACCTCACCTTCCTCTGTGCTTGAACTCGATACTTCAACTTCCAAATCCACTGAAGAAGCTAACGCCACCAATAATGGCAGTTCAAGCAAAGAAGAAAAAGAAGCGCAAAAGGAAGAAAACCAACAGGAAGGACAAGCAGCAGCAGCAGCAGCAGCTACTGTACCTATGGAGTCTAATGATTTTGAGAATGAATTTGCAGGGCTCCCAATCCCAGATCTGAGCTTCCTGAACGATCTGCCAGTACAAGCACTACCAACAACATCATCCGCAGCAACAGCAGCAGATGTTTCAGACATAAACCTCGGATTCGATCTGGACTGTGTAATGTTCGGCGACTTTGGTCAGGGTTTGGATGACCCTCTTGGTTTGGACGACTTACAAATTTGTGGGTTTGATGAGGATGACATGAATGCCAGTGAGCTGCCTGATTTCAATTTTGAACTGTGTGCTGATGATTTTGCTGGTTGGACTGAGGAGCCCCTCAATATACCTTGCGTATAAATTTAGCAGCTAGCTTCAGCAACAACATAGGAATAAGGAAGAAAGCATTAGTAATATTAATATTACTAGTATTTAGTATTTTAGCAGGACTAAGTTTTAAGTTTTGTGAGGCATCAAGAGTTGTGTTTTTGCGTCTGCAAGAATGTTGGTTCTTGTGAGTGGTTTTGCTGCGCGTGAAGAGTTTTACCAAGTTGTATCTGTTGAGGCAAATATTTGATGAGAGGTAGAAGAGGAAGAAGAATCCTTTGGGTTTTCCTGAGCTATTAGAGCCGTCCAAGGGTTCTTCCAATCATCTGTTTTATTTATAATTGTTACTATAATAGACTCATGTTTATCTTCCTTTGTGTTGCTATGAATCAATTCAGTTTCGTCCTGCGTATTATGCAAATATTATATTCCCAAGTCTCTCCGATGGAATCTTCTTTTAGTGTCTGGAATCTCATGGTCGGCCTTGCCAGAATCTATGGTGTGGCTTTGGATTTGAGCCCCAAGTTCCCTAACGGTGGCTGCTGGCCAGACCTCAATCTCAAAATTTTATTCTCATCTGGAATTTTTTCGGCCAGCAATGTGTGCTTTTCAAAGGGGTGTTTTTGTTCTCCAAATTTGAGGCGGATTCACTCAAGAATATGCAATATGCGAGTACACCCTAAAATCTGGAGTGGTAGAAGAGTTGAGTGTTGAGAGAGGACCCAAAAAAAAGAGAAAGGGTAGTGTTTGGGTGGGGGGAGAAGAGATTTGTGGGGAAAAGTGAGGAGAGCAAAGGGAATTTGGGGGGGGGAGAAGGGTGGGGCCAAAGGAGGAACTTTCTTTTGCCAAGCAAAGCATATCGTCAACAAGAGGCAGCGAAAGCTGTTCTATCTTAAATTCTCGTTTGGTTGACCTTGAAATGCTCCAAACCATTTTTTTTTAAAAAAATAAAAATAAAAATTTATTTTATTATTATTATTTATTACATTCCGGTTCTTCATCGGATCCTCATTGAACCAGTAATCGAACCAATGAAAAGAATAAAACGGAGTGGTTGCTGGCACACACTCGGCTGTGTCGTCACGTGTCGTTGCCTCTAAATTCCTAATGCATTTTCATTGCCATTTACTTCTCTTCTAAAATTAAGGAAATTCGATCCCCTCCAAGTACTTCTAAAATTGACCCCTTTGATTTGATCCTACAATTTTGTCGGCAATAGTAATAATAATAATTATAATTATGAAAAATATGATTGTCCGATTCAGCCGTGAGTGAGCTGAAGGGATCCGATAATTGTGTGGTCGTAAAATGTGAGTACTGGTAAGAGTTACATCCCACAGATTGAGTCGTAAATTAGTTTAAATTTAGAATTCAAAGAGATCCGTATTTAAATGCTGATTCCGGCTACGAGGAAAATAAAAAAGCTGATTCCTCCCCACTACCTCAATATTCTTTTTAAGCCTCGTGCGTGTCAAAGAGGGACAACATATACCTCTACTTATTCGCACTTTTCTGTTGAAATTAATATATATATTTATATATTATGAATTTAGATTTAGGAGTTACATTTGAACTAAATTTAGCAGTATTTATTTAGAATCATGCACATAATAGCTATAAACGAAGCACTAGACTAGGTGATTCACGCAGGCCCTTCCCCTCATAAATGCAAACACATTCTTTTCATGTACTCCTTCGGTTTTATATTTAAGATACACTACAAAATAGATTTTATATTTTGAATCAGAAGAGTATTATTTTATACCTAGTATGATATTGTCTTATTTTAAAACAATTAATATTTTGTTATTAATTCATTCATTTTTCAAAGAAAATAATTTAATAAAAACACAATGAAGTGGTCATTAGTTCATTATTATAGTGAGAAATAAAACACCGTATGAGTTTGTGTATTTTATAAATTACTTAGAAGATTTAAAAAGACTGAAGAATATGTTAGAAACTTGGGATAAGGACATTGGATGGAAGTATTAATAGGAAAGCGCAAGGCGAGTAAATCAAAGGAGGAGGCGCCTGAAAGGGACAAGGAATGACACAAGTAATGATAAGAGGAGATCAAAACGACACGACGTCTAGGAAAACAGATGGATTCCCCAAATCCGAAAAGAAGCAAACTTCGATGGTGCCAAGTTGTGGGGTGAGGTGATGTCGTTCGTGTCTTTTTCCCCAAGTTTTAATTTAATGACCCGGCTTCGTGCGACTTCATATCCATTGGTTACCGCTTAATATCTCTGTCGTTTCGTTTGACCCGACACTAAAACACAAAAGCCACATCATATTTTGCTAATTTATTATTATTATTGGAGTTTAAAAAATACAAGTGGTTTATGTCGTAAATGAGGAAGAAACGACATGTGTTTGCTTGGGCACCACGGTGGGCATATAGTGGACTTGTTATGATTTCTTGGAGTGAAAGCTCTGCCGTGTTATTTACGACATCGGCCTTTTTTTCGTTTTAAATTTCGGCTTCTGTATTTGTTTTTCAACGATCATTACCTAACCCTCGTCATGATAATCAAAAAAATATTTATTTTTTCTCTCAGTTAATCAAGAAAGGGAAAAAGGAAGTAGTGATTGGGAACATTTGTTAGCTAAAGAAGCATGATGCGCCAGAAACAGGAACAGAATGAAATTACTTAACGCCCAATACTACCCCTCACCGTCGGCATCAGTAGAAATAGTTCGAATATAAAAAAAGTTCAAACGACAAAAAAAATAGACAGACTAAAATAAATCAAATCACTATGCCACACAAAAAGAAAAAGGAAGAAGGGGAAGAACATATATATATATATATATATATATATGGATGTTATTAACAAATAATAAAACCCAAGTTGGCTTATTCAGTTTAGTAGTTTTGGGCGAATTGATTAAACCGAATTTTATAGGTTTTTTTTCTTCTTCTTCTCATTGAATCTGAAACGACGTCATTTTTAGTTTTTTTTTTTAAATAGCAGTCGATCAAATTTTTGATGGGTAGAAATTAATAAATAGGAGGTGGTTAACAACCCTCAAAAGTGCTTTTAAGAAGTACTTTTTCACAAAATGAGACAAACTTGTACATTTATTTCATAAACTGTAAAAACATTTTTGAAACCATAATTTGGTTTCTATTCAAACACTTCTTAGGGGGTGATTGGCAACCTTCAAACCATTGTTTTAGAAATACTTTTTCGTAAAACGAGATAAATTTCTTTACATATTTACTTCGTAAACCGTAAAAACATTTTTAAAACCATAGTTTAGTTTCTATCTAAACACCCTTTTAATCTGGCTGCTAGGAATGCAGGAAGGTAGTGGCGGAAATTCTTATAACTTGGAAATGCTTCAAGTAGTGTTACCAAAGTGGGGAGAGCCAAAATTCAATGCCAACTAAAATCTTGAGGCTATGAGTTACTACATTTTTTCTACTTACACTTGATATTCTAATAATGATTTTATGTATTTTTTTTAATGAATGATATTGATATTAATATTTTTTTATTTTGGCACTAAGTTTCTATTTAAATTTTGTGCTTCTCCCTAACGTAATACCCCATGCATAACGTCACTCGTGATGATAGGATTATACCTTTTTTTTCAAACTCTTTACAAGAAACCACAGTATATTGGCCATAAAAAAAAAAACAACAGTGAGAAAAAAAAAATTAGAGGAGTTGATCAAAGAAACTATATCAAATTTTCGAATCAATCATACATGATAAAGCATCCTATTTCTAAGATATTTCCTTTGATTCTGTACATAAGCTTTACTTTTAGAACAAGATTTGGTTTAAAATATAAGCTTCATATTTTAGTTTCTCTGAACATTTATTATTTTCCCCCCCTCTGTTTTGCTCTTACTTGACTGTATTTAGTACTCCCTCTTTCTCATTAATATTACCTCCACATATTCTCTTTTATCAATTTTTCATTTATTTCCTCTCTCATTTACTCTCTTTATAAATAAAAGCAAATTTTAAAAAAAAATTATATTTTTGACCTATTTATTATTTTTAACTAATTTTAAGTGTTAATTGTTAAACGTGATTCGGTTATTTAAAGCTTATATATATGACCAAAAGGAGTATTATTTAATTGTAAATTTATATAAAAAAATAGGATACATAGTTATATGTGATTAAAAATTTTGAGATAATGGATAGAAAAATGTTAATTTAAAATCAAGTTAAAATCTTCGAATAAATTTAACAGGAGAGGGAAGTAATGAAGAAGGACATAGTTATTTGTGATGTTCACAATGTGGAGCTAATAAGCACCTCCCACATGCTCTCCTACTTCTTCATTTCTCCTCGGCTTAAATTCTACAATTCAAAGTCAGAACCCTTTTTTTTGGGTTCACAGGACCCAGAACTCATAAGTCATAATAGAGTTAAAAATAAAGTTGAAACTTGGAAGGGTTTATAAAATGAATATCTAATCAACCTATAAAACATGTGGATCTGAAATAAGTTAAAACCCTTAAAATAAATTAATGCGCTTATTATTTATCAATGCTTACAAAAGTCATCTATAATGAATTGGCATGAATTGCCCTTAACACTGCGGGCTGGAATCATTAGGCACACCAAGTTGCTCTGAGCGAAACAGCTTAATTAATTATCAATATATATATACCATTATTTGATATCATTATTAGCTTGCTATGACCAAAGTTGAGGATTAATTAATGACAAAACTCAAGCACTCACCACAATAAATATGCTATTCACAAAATATCTATAAGATCACCATTTCATTGAGATCTAACTTAGACCAGAACAAGTATTTTATACACATCATTCCACTGTTTTCCACCCATCTAATAAATTTTAGAGGAATCATAATCTAAATTTTCCTGCATAAAATCAAGTTTTTAAAGGGGAATCATCATATTCATAACTGAGCCTTTTGGGAATAAATAATGCTCCTATGTTCTTAATTTGAATCACTTCATTAAATTTATTATTTTGGTATATTGTATATTAAATAAGAGTAAAATTAAAAAATTATCAAATTTTGTTAGAGTTAATAACATTTAAGGTTTTTTTTTTAAATTTCAACGAAATATGTCGAAATTATTTTATGAACAGAATCAGAACAGTAAAGCATAGTGGGAGGAAGCTGGAAAGGCATGAAGTGTGGGCGTGAGAGAAGGGCAGCAGATAGTTCAGAGCTGAACTTTAGAATAAAGGAGTGCATCAAGAGAAAGAGGAGAAAGAAAAGTAGTAGGAAATTAGGTATGGTGGGGCCCAGAGAATTGAAAATCCGAGGGGGAAAAAAAATTAAGGGCTCTTGTGAGAAAATTCGGCACATCGTGGATTTGACTCTTTCGCAAATAAACATTTTGAATCAATGAATCCCAGAAACTGACTCAGACATGTTGGGATCACAGAATCATCACTTAATTGAAAAAAAAAAATAGTTCAGTTTTAGTCAAATATTGCCACTCAACTACTGTGCACGCTACTCAGATTTTATTCGCCCATACATATATATTAATGCCCTTAGATATATCCCACCAATAAATTATTACCAAATCGAAACAGAATTAATTAAACAACCTAACTAGAATTCAATTCATAGTATAGTTTGGTTGAAAAATTTAATTACTTCGGCCTAGGTTTGAGAATTATATTTGTGTCATGGTTCTCAAAGGATGTTTAAAAAAAAAGTTTAAAATATGTCGGGCGTGGAAATTTCAAACCATTTTTTCAAAAGTGGGAGCATTTTATAATATGAGTTGCTAAACACCACTGTGTTGGAAGCAAATATAATTTGGGTTGGAAATTGAACTGTGCAAACATGTGATGATCACTATTTTCCATTATATTTCAACAAGCTTAGAATCTTATATTAAAATATGGTCTGAGCTTCTACTTGTGATTTCTTTCGTTGTCATTCAATTATTTTTTTCCGGTATTTTTGGTTTTATGTTTGTGAAAAACAATAATGTGAACATAAAATATGGATTATCGTCTTTATGGTTCTTTTTTGGGAAAATCCAAAAAAAAAGCCCCTGGAATATAATGAATTCCTGATTAGGTTTTGGAATTGTGTAAATGACATAGAGTGTCAATGACCCAATCTGTCATTTGTAAAATTAAGAGGAATTAACAGCTTTGCCCTCATTTGTATTCATTCACTACAATGATTTAAGGAATCACTATAAAGATTTAAGCGTTACCTAGATTCGTGTAGAGAATAACTACTCATTTTTTCATAGTCAGTAATGCCCCATGAAAAGTTGTCTTGTTATTAGTTACAGCTAATCATGTAATCACTAGAACAGTATAAACGTTACTTAGATTCATTTAGAGAACAACTACTCACTTTTGTTTAGTCAAGGTAAAGTTGTCAATTCCTCTTGATTTTACAAATGACAGATTGGGCTATTGACCCTTTCTGTCATTTACACAATTTCAAGAGCCAATCAGGAATTTTTGGGGGCTTTTTTCTTTTTTTCCCAAAAAAAAAACCTTAAAGCGATCAATATTCCTTTTTTCTCTTGACATTTACATATTGACTACATTTTGGGCCTAAAACCCAATTGTAGAGTCCAGTAATACGAAAGACTCAAGCCTATTTTGCATCGGTCCAGCAGTGAGCCCAAATGGTGGATACGTGTTTGGAGAAATTTAAGATTTTTGGGTTTATTATAATTTTGAGTTTCTTAAATTTGTCATCATTTTGATTTTTATCCCTCAAGTTTCAGATTATAGGTTTTGACCCCTTAAGTTTTCTTTTATTTAATACCTGAACCATTTTTCCTTTTTAGGACTAAAATCTATGATGTGAAACTTGATGGACTAAAATCAAAATGAGGGTATCGAGGGATTAAAAATTATATTATCCCAAGATTTTTTTTTTTGCCTTGCGGAGCCTGATATGATTTGATAATTTGGAAGTGTTGGATATCTCTCTGTCTTGCCCGAATAGTGCCCTATACCAAAAAATTATATTTAAAAAAAAGTTTAAAGTAAGTAATGAATTATTGCGGAAAGAAAGAGAGAGAGAGAGACCGAAAAAAGAAAGAAAGAAATGATAGATGAAGGCCTCGATTTCTTTTTTAAGAACAAGTAGACACGTCTTAATTAAGAATACGAAAGGTTGGTGCGAAAAAGGGGACACCATATATAAAAAAGGATTTTGCAGAAAGCCCATATGTATCTCGAAAGACGCTGACATGACTGTCTAAATAAAATTTATTTATTGTAATTTAGCGTTATTCAAAGTTCAAACACACACACACACACACAGGCTGCATAATTAATTAATCAGAAATGGGGCACATAAAGCCTGCCCCATTGTGTTCTTGACTGCAAATAAGCAGAAAAGGAAAAGCAAGTTCAGAGAAAGCCCTTGTGTTGGAAGCTGTTGATACAGTCAGTGAACATATCTTGGAGGCTTTTGAATGTGGTAAGCCCTAAAGCAGCAATCTTAGTTGTGTCCATACCATGTGGTATGTTGTCCCCTTCCTGATTGCTGCACCTGTACACACACACCCCAAAGTATTGGTTTATTTATTATATCATATCATATTTGAAAATTTTGAAATTATATGTAGGCATAAAATGAGGGGAGACTGAGTTAATTAGGTTGCTGTGTGTCTAGAGAAAATCTAATTCTCATCATATGCTTTCTTTAGCTTCTTTGTCGCGTGATTGATGGCTATTCTCAATTGCTACTATTGTGCCTGCATGCTATTCAGAAGATTGTCTGATATGATGGGCCTTCTGGATTACTACCATGAGAATTTAGCTACGGAGGAATGAGAGGTATTTATAAGTCTTTCACTGCTTTCGCTGTGTCTCTAAACGGTGGGAGAAGATAATGGTGAACTCACGTTTGTTCATAAGGGTAGGAAGGATAGGTGGCACGAAGCATGTGGATGATGTTGGACCAGTGAGCTACAGGACCTGAACACACAAGTCTGCCACTTGCCTTTGGTTCTTGCATTGCTATCAAGTGAGCTGACACAACATCGTCTATGTGCACAAATCCTATTGCTTGGTTTGGATACTCTCCTCTCCGCCCTGTGATCGTGCTGAGCAATATGAGTAATGTACTGCTAGGCTGGGGCGCCAGAAGAGGACCAATCACGAACGATGGATTCACCACCACCAGATCTATCCCACTTTCTCCTGCCACCTTCCATGCCTCTCTTTCTGCTAATGTCTTTGCATATGCGTACCATAGCTGCAACATATATATAGTTATTCACACATGAGCTAAACAATGTCAGAATATACATATGTGCTTCTTTGATGTTTAATTTGATTTCGTCAAACGTTTGATCGATGGGGTGGACAAGTGTGTTATTTCGTACGTTGTGACGCTTGCAGTATTCCAGATCACTCCAGTGTGATTCATTCAGAGGAGAAACTTGCTGTGCGTCGTCTCGATATCTTATGGCTGAACACGAAGACGTCATGACCACTCTTCTCACATTTGCTCTTTCGCACGACTTCAGCACATTCACAGCTCCATTCACCGTCGGATCTATTAACGTTTTCTGCAACTCAAACCAAAGCAAAGTCCAAATAATGTAGGAACATCAAAATTTCATATTTTATAGAACTGGATATTGAAAAAGAATCAATCTAACAAGCACATGGATTTGGAACAATCACTCCCTAGAATTTAGCTCTTCTCCCTAAAATTTAGCTTTTAGAGTTGGAGAGCCAAGCCCCTTTCTTCGAAAAAGCAATTTAATTCTCTTAATGTGATACTCTTGACAATACACCTTTTCTAGAGTTGATATCTAATTCATGGAGAGGGCTACCCAAAATGATGCCGACTGTCTGGAAGTCAAGTAAAGCGTCATGGTGTTAAGGCACCCAAAACATTAGCTCTAAAAGAGTGCATTATTACCTCACCAGTATGATGTAGCTTATTAGTCAGTGACTCTTTCTCTTAATAAGCGATGTTCTTTTTCTTTCTTTCTTGTTAAGCACATGAATCCTCTAATTAAAAACAATTCCTTTCGAGATACTGTCACGTATTAAATGTGAGTATAGTGTGTTGATAATATTATTATGGAGAAGCTCATATGGCGTGGTATTTAACCTACTTGTATGCATTTTTTAGTTCACAAGACTTGCTTCCTATATGATTATATTATAGGATGCAAGCTAAGGAATACAAAAGGTTTAGTGACCTGAACGTCGTCGTGGTGGTTGACGATGACAGGCGCAGCTGTATGGAAGACGCCGTCAACACCTTGGACAGCCTCATCGAAGCTTCCTTCTTCTCTCAGATCAGCTTTCAACATCTTCAGCCTCTCTTTGGCTCCTCTCAGTTCCCATAAAAACCCAACCTTCTCCCCATCCTCTGACACACACACAAATTTAACGTTAGCGAACTTCAATAGCCAGCTAGTTTGATACATCTCAAGAACCACTGGCCGAAATAAATCTTAAAATCTGCAAATTAAACCTGGATCTCTCACGGTCGTCCTCACAGTGTGGCCCTTGTCTAATAAAGCCTTCACAATGTATGAAGCTATGAAACCAGAACCCCCAGTGACGCAGTATTCAGGCATATCTCGATCTGTATCTTCCTTTGTATCTAATTTCCAAGTTTTATTGAGTTGATCCTTCCTCAGCCTAACCTTTGGCTTTATTCAGAGAAGCAAAGCAAAGTTCAGATCAAAGCAAGTAATAATTAACGTGGAGTATCATGAAATATGCGTTTCACTTTAATAGTATTGAAGATAAAGATGGGCAGATGATTCATTCTATTCACAGTCCTGCGTTTGACTATGAATTGTGTGAACTATCTACCTCACTTTAATGCCGCAAAATTATTTATTACTTGATTCAGATAAGTGAAATTTAATTTTAAATTTAGATATTTAAAACTTGACTTTTACTTTCTGTATCTATTTTTCTTCTTATTCACGTTTAACTAAATATTATATTAATCTATGATAAGAAAAAATTTAATTTCTTAGTCTTTATAATTTATCTTGACTTTCAAAATATTCTTACAGTTTAATAGTTTTTTTTTTTTTGCTATGCAAATGTTTAGGTGAATTAAATTTCAGGAACTTATTAGAGTTAAGACATACCTTTAAGCTCCAGGTATTGCTTGCCAACAATGTTAATTAGTTAGTCGCTGATGTGGGTGGATTTTTCTTTTCCTACTATATCTCTCTTTTTTATCTACATTTCCACCGTTATGGCGTCATTGCTTATTAACTTTCATGCATATCACTGCAGCCAAAGAGGAGATAGAGCCTGAGACAAACTGAGAGACAGAACTACTTTCGGTGTAATGATCTATACTGATTAACAATGACAAGCTGAGACCGGTCTCCCCGTTAGCTTCTTGGACCATAAGAAGCCCCTTCCCATCATTTTTTACAAGATTATTCATAGTCTATCTATGCTTTCTGTTCAAATAAACAGAGTCAAAACTCATTATGGAATTGATAGTTCCTAAACGTTTGAGTTCATATTCAATTTTAACCAAATCCATAAACTTAACTATAATCCCAGTTTCAATTCAGAAGAATAGAAGAGACTGAAAACCTAGATTCGGAATCGGCAGGGTCACACAACTCCATTGATTGATGAATTTGTAATGGGCCGTACGGTAATTATAGGCCGGCCCAGGTATTTTTGGACTCAACCCATTAGCTATGTATTGCCCCACAAAACCATTTGTGATTTCCACATTTCAATGGGGCAACAAGCTCATGGATTTTCATTGGCCCACATGGATTTTCCGAGAGCCCCGAACATTACTACAAGTAATTATCAATATTGTGGTACTATCAGCTCAAGATGACATTAATGAATTTAGGTTCAATTTATGATATTTTGCGTATAGAATAAACCTCGTTAAAAAGCGTCTCCATTTTGTCACAGGTAATTAAGCGTCCAAAACTTAACTCATCTCATCTTTGTTACACCCAAAAAAAAAAAAAAAAAGATGTCTACATTTATCCTCAATGGAGACAATATTACAATCAAATAATACTCTCGTAGAAAAAGTAAATATCAAGATTCAACATATTTATGTAAAATTTATAATAAATCACATTATTTACTATACTCAAACAATAAGCCCTCATCTGATGTCAATAAATTTGTAAGGACTATATTTACAGGAACAATCTCTTTCAAAAACCAAAGTATATATATTGTTCAATAAATATATTCCAATTGAAAATTAGCAAAAATTTACTATTTACTCTTTGTAATTTTGACTTAGTTTAACTCAGTTCTTCAAGTCTTAACTATTTAATCGGTTCGTCTTTATATTTGCATAAAATCATTCATTTCTTCACAGACTAAGTAAGTCATAAAGCTTAAGAATTAATGGATAAAACAGCTAAAACTTTGTCACGAGTTTCACATTGAAAAAGTTACTTTGAAGTGAGGAGTTTATTTTATAAAATCCCAAACCGTTGTTTTTTGCATTGTGGTTCTCCCACGAACTTACACTGTTTACACCCTTTGAGCAAATACATCCGTATACAAACATTATATGGTTGTTTTACTTCTGAGGTTGAACTCATATTTCATGTTTTATTTTACCTTCTGCCCTTTCTTTTTGGTTCTATGAACATCTATATTGTTAAAGCCTGAATTTCAGAGTGGAACATGCTAGTAGCAATAGTATCGAGTAGATTCCATATAATTAATATATTTTGATGGCCGGTATGAATAGTTGCAATAATCGATATAAATATAATGGTCCCATAATTCCCGAATAAAATAGACAAGATATTAGATATAATTTTAGCTTTTAGGTGATCATATGATGATGATGATGTATTTATACGAAAGGTGGTAGCGTATGATCTAGTTGGACTTATAGATCTTCCAAACCAGAATAATGAAGCGAACTGGTTATTTAATATATATGAGACAGTTGAAAAAGTAGTTTGTATGGTTCATATGATAGAAAGGATATATAGATCGAGGAGGGGCTTAATTGCTTGAACGGCACAAACTCAACTTTCCCTTCTGATTATGCCTTCCCATTTGCAGGTCTCTCGAAGTCTCAACTACTTGCCATCTCCTTTTCTTCTATTTGGTTTCATTTAAGTTTTGAGCCTAAGGTGGTTGGTTGGTGGTTGGTTCAATGTCACATATTAATGCAACTTCACTTTCCTAATCATTTTAACACAGAAGAACAACCGAAATTTATACTAAAATTTTTGTTGGCACTTGGCACAAATCATATAGGTTTGAATGCCGCTTTCAAAATCTTGCTTGGTGGATTTCTCCCTAAAACAAGATCTCCCCACATTTACGGATAGTTGAGTGGTTAATATTAGATAAAACCATTTGTAATTTAGAGAGAGAGAGATATATATATATATATAATACTAATTTCCATTTAAAATATAAAATTAGATAATTAATTTTATATCCAAGTACCTGCATGCTTTTTTTTCTTTGGCCAAACAAGGAACTGCGTGCTTTGAAAGATCATTAAAATTGATGTTTTTGGAGCCTTTGTTTTTCTAATTACATCAAGTGTTTTTGGATATTAACATGTCAAAATATAGATGCTTCTTTAGGCAGAGATTTTTTTTTTCTATCTATAAGATATATCGTTAAATTTTTAATATAATTAGACTATTTTTATTTTCTAGGTTGTTATTTTGTTTGAAAGTATTTATATTAAATAGGAATAAAGTTGAGATGTTATTAAACTTTAAGACAAACTTAACGAGGTTTAAAATTTTTCTTGATTTTGACAAAATTTATTAAAAATAACTTATAAATAAGATAAAAAAGTAATATGATGTACAAGACTCATGCCAGTTAAGATATATATGAAGCTGAAATTGATAAGACCGACTCAATCAATCTCAGGTAAACATTATATATGTCATTCCTGCATTTCATTAGGATTAATTTTTACTATATTTAAATTAATTATAACCGATTGATTAGGAGTGGTATTTTCGTATAGTGATTGATTAATCAGGAGAAGCATCGTTTACGAGAAAATATGTGTGCATGTGTATATTAATTATTAGGAAAATATTTAGGTCAAGTTATTTATACTTATTATGTCAAATCCTCCCATCACATATTACTACATGTTCTATTTCTTATGTGGTTGAACAACTTGGCATAATGGAACAAAAAACTTGATATAACGATTGTTCTAATTTTTTATTATCATGACCAAAAATCGATTTTTAAAAGGGGGAAATCTATTTTTTATTTACACAGAAAAGAGGGGAATCGGGTAAGGCAGCTGTCAGAATTAGAATGGAGAGGCATGATAATGACAACAGCAAATAGCATTAAATATAGGGGGGAAATCAAAGTGAAATGTTATTTTGAATGCTTTTTGTTTGACTCTCAAGCTTCGCCATACGTTCAACCAGAGGGTTGTGGAAAATAAATTGAATTTCAGTCGGCTGTCTAATTCGTCACTTTAAATCAAGTCATTAAATAAAATGGGCTCTTCATATGAACACGTAGTTAAACATGAATTTAAGTTGGCGAAAAAAGAGTTCAATATCTTATGAATAATATTAAAATAGTATATAATTATGTTGGCCAAAAAAAAAAAGGTATATAATTATGACAATGTGATCAAATATAGAAAATCCTTGTGGCTCAACTCGTTTGCATGTAGCCCCAACCAAATTTTATGGTTAAAATATAACTGAAATACGTAAAACTCAGTTGATGAAATTTTGACATAGCAAAAATAATTGACTTTAACGATAATCAAAATATTAAACATTAAGGCCTTTGTTTTAAACTTTTAAAAGTTAAAGATAGAGTTAATCTAAAACTTAGGGAGGTTTGTGTATTTTAATTTTATAATCAGGACAACGAAACGTACATAGCTAGAAGAATACAACAATATATAATTAAATGATATTGTTTATGCAACTGCATTAAATTTAAGCGTTTGGAGGCTAATTATGATTTTAAGGGTGTAAATATAGAAGAATAATAGTTCTGGCAAAAAAAAAATAGAAGAATAATTGTAATAGCTCAACTTTAATTAGTAAGTAGTGTACTGTTAATTTTTGGGTTTCACCTAAAATGTTCAACATTATTTAGGTGATAGGTTGGTCCCTGGTGGTGAAATCGTAGCACATAAGCTAATATTTCCATTGGAAAGACGATCTGTATATAACTATATCGAGTTAATATTTCACACTATTATAATTAATAAAGTAAAACAAATGGGATTGTTAAATTCCGCTTAAATTATTTGCTACATATATATAATAGATAAAATTGAGTGCAATCTGAAAGTCTCCCAAGCATATTGTTGAGTATGTTCGCGTGTGAGCTTATATAATATATCTTGATGAAAATATTTGAGTATTTATTTTTAAAATAAAATATGAAAATTAAAAGCCCAGTTCACATTTTCACTTTAGACTTATTCTCAGCAATATTTTTGTAATAATTTTCTGTCTCTACCAAATTAAACATATTACATATTGCTGGAGAAAAGTCCAAAAGTACAGAGAAGTCGGACTAGGATAAGAGAGGGAAGTGATACCTAAGAAAGAGTAGCAACTCCTGAGAAAAAAGAAGAGAGAAA